TACCCAAAAAAGCTCAATCCAAAAAGAAATGTCCAAATCTTGAATTCGGGAACCTTTATGCCCATAAAAGAGTCAGTTGTTGAAGTAGCATTCACAGCTTTCCTCGAGCCTTAAACTCTATCTTCCTCAGCCAACTCCCTAATTCTAACACATTTGAAGAAAAAACTAGTACCCTGCTACATAATTTAAGATGTCCCACTCTAGGAGACTTCAGATGGTATGTAGACAATTTCATAATCATGGTAATGACTAGAACATACTACAAAGAAACATTTTGGAAAGAAAGATTTATTGCTGGACTACCCCTAGTATTTGCAATAAAAGTACGAGAAAAATTATCCCAAAAATACCCTGAACCTTTGCAAGATATAACATATGGAAAAATAATTTCAACTATTAAAAATACTGCCTTAGAAATATGTAATAATCTAAAGTTAGAAAAACAGATTAAAAGACAACAAGAAATTGGAACAACAGAATTAAGAGATTTTTGCATTCAATATGGGTATGAAAAATTAGATCCTCCTTCTAGAAAAAAATAAGAACAAACAAATAATCAAAAGAAAATATCTAGAGCCTTTAAAAATAAAAGATCAAAACCTTTGACAAGTAATAATCAAACTGATTCAAAGAAAGGAATAGTTTGTTATAAATGTGAAAGATACGAACATATGAAAAAAGATTGTAGAGTCCGAGAAAAGATACAAAATTTAGATATGAGTGAAGAAGTAAAAAATCAAATAGCAAAAATATTATTATATGAATCAGAAGAAGATACAAATAATTTAATCGAAACCAGTAGTAGCAAAGATGGAAAAACCACTAACCCCGATGAAAATGAGAATGAAGAAAATTGTGATTGCATATTTAATATCAATGTTTTAACTACTGAAACTAAAATAGCCTTAGAAATGGTAGATAAACTTCCAAATGAAGAAAATAAGTTAGAATATTTAACTAAATTAAAAACCTTAATACTAAACGAAAGAGAAACAGAAATTGTATCAACGAAGTAAGTGGTTATGATTTCTCAAAAATATTACGAAAGGCAATAAATAAAGAAAAACCAAGTAAATTTACAAGACTTGCAAAAAGAAATAAGCCTTTTAAAAAAATAAATAAAAGAAATTAAAATTCAATTAATAGAATTAAAGATAAAAAAAGAAATACAAGAAGAAAAAATGAATATTATAAATAATAAATCTATTATAAATGATATAGCAACATCCGAAAAGGTTAATCAAATAAAGATTTTACAACAAAAATGGCATATAAAGGCTACACTAAAAATTGGAAATAATTTTCATAAACAATTTACAGACTTTAGTAGACTTTGGAGCTTATATAAATTGTATACGAGAAGGATTAATACCTAGTAAATACTATGAAAAAACTTTATAAACCTTAAGTACCGCGAACTCGAAAAATTAAAGGTAAAATATAAATTGTCAAATGCTAGTATATGTAATAAAGGAACCTGTTTTAAAAATACTTTTATACTAACCCCCGATATTAGTGAAGAAATGATTATAGGAACCTCATTTCTAGCGTTAATATACCCTTTTGAAGTATACGAAAATGGAATAAGACATAAAAATATTTTATTCGAATTTATTAAACCAATAAAAATTAAAGAAATACAATTAGTTACTAAAGTAAATGAGGAAAAGTTTCTATTCAAATTGGAAGCCAAAAATAGTCATATAAAATATTTAAAACAAGAAATCGCATACAAAAGAATCGAAGAACAATTAAAAAATTCTGAAATAATAACAACCTTTAAAAAAATAGAACAAGAAATCATAAAAGAAGTATGTGCAGAGGTCCCCACAGCTTTTTGGAATAGAAACACTTTTGAAATTGAATTACCATACGAAGAAGGATTATTAGAAAAGAATATTCCTATCAAAGCCAAACCGGTACAATTAAATAAAGAAACATTAGAATATTGTAGAAAAGAAATAAAATCTTTTTTAGATAAAAAACTTATTAGACCTAGTAAATCGTCATGGAGTTGTGCTTGTCTTTTATGTACAAAATGCCTCCGAAATAGAAAGAGGAGAACCAACAATATGGTAATAAATTATAAGCCTTTTAATAAATTCTATTTCAAATTCAAAACAGGATAATAGACTTTGTCATCTTGTAAATATTTGCTTGGAAACTATATTTTTTACGTCTTTTTCCAAAACTTCTTTTGTAGATTTACAATCAATTCTTAATAAAAAAAATTGTTTATTAAATCATGTTAAAAATTTTGTATATTTAAAACTATACTTAAAACTTCTTTTTTAATCGTGTTATAATTCTTTTGAGCATCGTTTCATATTCCTGAGTGATATCTTACTATTTGTTCGGGGTTATCTTTTAACTTTTGTTTTAGTATACCCCCATATCCTATATCAGAAGCATCGGTTTCTATTTATTTTTGCTTCTGGGTTTGGTATTCCCAAACATAGCAAAGACTTAACTAATTTTTTAACCTCTATTACTATTTTAGTCATCTCTAGAGTCCATGGTTTGGGATTTTTCCTTAATCTAGTAAAGAGGGGTTTACACCATATTTGAATATTAGGTATAAATTCTGATACATAGTTTAAGCAGCCTAAGAATCTTTGTAGTTGAAGTTTATCTTTTATTTCATTAGGAAATTTTTCTGAGAATTCAATACTTCTTTTAATTGGGCTAAAAATCTAACTTGTGTTTGGGCTAGTTTTATTTTCTTTTGTGATATTATCATTCCATTTGTTTTTATAACGTTTTTAAATATTTTTAAATGTTTTTTATATTGTTCTATTGATTCAGAAAATATTAAGACATCATCAATATAGACAATGACAAATTTTGAGTAAGGATTTAATATGTCATTCATTATTTTTTGAAATTCAAAAGGCGCGTTTTTCAAACTCATAGGCATTACATTCTATTCATATTGCTCGAAAGGTACTATAAAGGCAGTTTTATATTTGTCTTGTTCTTTTAATTTAATATGATAGTATCCACTTTTCATATCAAACTTAGAAAATATAGTGGCATTATAAATTCTACTTATTAGTTCAGTTTTATTAGGCAGGGGATACCTAATCCATTTTAAGATCTTATTTAAAGGTTATAATTTATTACCATTCTTGGTTCTCCTCTTTCTATTTCGGAGACATTTTGTACATAAAAGGCAGACACAACTCCATGGCAATTTACTACGTCTAATAAGCTTTTTATCTAAAAAAGATTTTATTTCTCTTCTATAATATTCTAATGTTTCTTTATTTAATTGTACTTGGTTTGGCTTTGGTAGGAATATTCTTTTCCGAAAATCCTTCTTCGTATGGTAATTCAATTTCCAAAGTGTTTCTATTCCAAAAGTCAAACCGGTATAATTAAATAAAGAAATATTAGAATATTGTATAAAAGAAATAAAATCTTTTTTAGATAAAAAAACTTTATATATATATATATATATATATATATATATATATATGGATGTGATTTACGCACTTAGGTGTATTTAATTAATATTTAATATTTATATAAACAAAATAATTTACTTTTTTTATTTTCATATATTATAAACAAAATATTCAATATTTAATAGTTTTATATAGCAAATTAACTTGTTAAAAATAAATGATAAATATTTAATAAAAATTTAGTTATTTATGATAAATCAATTTTAAAAATAAATTATTTAATATATATATATATATATATTAAATAATTTATAGTTTGAATACAGAACTTTTTTATATTTAATTAATAAATATTATAATAATATATAAAAGATTAACATTACTAATATATTTAAATATAAGATGACTTGTATTTGTGACGGATGTGAAAAACATTTCTCCTTAGGAAAATTGTAATAAAATTGTGAGGAAATATTTGCTAACAACTTTACACAATTTGATATTTGCTCTAGATTTCTTATGATTTACTACAGTCGACCAATGATAGCATACTAAGCATTTTAGCGAGAAAATAACTTGAAAAGGTATCATAGAAAAAATAAAAAAATTTCTTTTTTCATATATTTTATTGTTTATAAAGAAATATTAGTGAAAAAAAATTAAACTAAATTAATTTTGGATTAAGCAAAGAAACAGCTAGAAAAATATTAGTCTTCGACTATTTTGATACGGATTAACTATAATTTTATTCCTTCATTATTTCATCATCAAATAGCTATGAACTAGTGAAAAATAAATTTTATAACAAATTTTTCTAGTTAATCAATAAATTCCTTGTAGTGTCAAATAGTGAAGAATAAATAAAATTTTTAATTATCTAGATTCACCGAGACTTGATGAATAAGTAAGGAATTAACCATAACATAACATAGGGAAGCATGATGGTTTGAATTTTGGGACAATTCAATGAACAAGTATCATATAAAACATATGGTAGGTGCTTAATCTCATATATCTAAATTCAATCCAATCTTTTGAAAATTGTTAAGTACTATAATTATTTTGGTTGATTCCATCATGCCTTTGTTGAGGTAAGATATGTGGTTTGTGAAACAAGGGATATGGTTGATATATTTACAAATGACATTGTGTGAGAACTTATATAATTAAATATTTTTGTATAAATTTATATGATTGTCTTATAGTAGTTTACCCTTTCTATTTGTATTTGTTTTGTAACTTATTATGATTTTTATATGGGAGTATGTGACAATATAAGATGAACTTCTTACCTGATGGGCCCTTGTTTAGGCCCTATATTTCTTCCATTTTGTATTTAATCTTAATTATTCAATTATCTTATGTAATTGAGGATTTGTTTAGTTGATAGTTACGTTTTGAGACCTTACTAGCACACTAGCCCCGATGACCTAAGCCCTTTGGGGAGAGTTGCTCTAAAAGAAAGAAAAACTAAACATAAAAAAAGAAAAATCCATTTCTTTATCTGGTACGTAGATCAGCCCCTGGGCTTGAGGACGCCAAAGAAGGACAAAGAGCCTAGAAACAAAACCGAGACCAATTCGTCATAACGTTATGAAAGTAGCATTTTTCAAGAAAGATTATTTCTTTGTAGAGGGAAAACTTTCGTGCCCCAAAGAGAAAAGGGTGTGCCTTGGTGGGAACACCTGTGATTGGATATAATGTTATGATGAAAATCTCATGACTGTTGGGATTTGATCGAGACAGGGTAGAAGAGAGACACATTGTTCATAAAAAGGGAGCAATAGTGAGCACATTGTTGTGATACCCCTTTTGAGTGATTAGTGTCCTCTGACAAGTTGATATTTCATATAATTGTGAAGGTAAACTTGTCTTCATCCTTTCATTTTTCGTCATTTGATTCCGAAAGGTTAACGGGTGGGAAATTGGGTAAGGCTGGAGAGAATAACTTAGATAGTTGTCAAGGGGATCATAGCGAGGAGTTGGGATTAGGCAAAGGAGGATCCATTGTATTGGTGGATACACCACACACAGTGTCATCAAGCCACAAAGATGCCGATAATGACAAGGATGACATTAATGTAGAAAGGTCGTGGATGAGCTAATTGTTAGCTATGAATGGGTGGATCATCTTGTGAGAGAGTACTTTTCTATGTATAAATGACTAGTGTCTTGAGATCTTACATAAAATCACAATTTATTAGAGAGCTCTTAATAGGATATTACTCTACGCCGATGTTGATATATCGACAAGAGGGATCATCACTATGGGAGTTCTAAGGGTTTTGAATGTCACGTCCACTCAACTACACCTAAATAGTTGGGCGGTTCTCCAAGTTTTTCAACTTTTGTGCCAAGTGTTGCACCGGTCTCCCACACCCTAAGTGTTTCTCCATCATTTCAACAATCGCTCAGTGTTTCTCCATCATTTCAACAATCGCCCAGTGTTTCTCCATCATTTCAACAACCACCCAGCGATTATGTAAGTGGATTGTCCTTGGTAGGCCAATAAGCATCTTCCTTATTTCCCCATGCACGTCTTCTTATAAAAAAATTCAAGGTTGGGTTTTTAAGGTGGTAATATGTTAGGTAAACATTAAATGCATGTAATTGAGAGGTAGTGGTTATAGAGGTAGTAGTTGAGAGGTAGTTGTTGTATTGAATGTATGTAGTTAAAAGGTAGTTGTTGTATTAAATGCATGTAGTTGAGATGTCATATCCAAACACTACTAGAAAAATGTCAAATAATGAATCGAAATCGATGATCGAAAAATTTAGTTACTATCAATGACCGAATCAGTAACCAAATTATTATTTTTTAGTCTAGTAACTCGAAATAGTAACCGAATTTTCGGTCACAAAAAATCGGTTACTATTTCAGTCACTTTATTATTTAATTTATTTTTTTAATTAATCTATATTTAATTTATGTAATTATTTACTACAAAAATGGTTAATAGTGACTCGAAATTAGTGACTCGATTTTTTTTATATTTAGTAACTCGATTTAGTGACTAAAATTTCAGTCACTAAAAAAATAATTTTTAAACTGATTACTATTTTTCATTTATATAAATATTTTATTTAAAATATTTTAAATATAAATTTACTTAATGATTTAAAATAATTGATAACATTTTTAATAAAATTATAAATATTTAAAAAAATTGTTTACTAACTTATTAAATAATTTAGTAATATAATTATTTGATTTTATTTTTTAATTTAGCATGTGAATAAAAAAATAAAATTGATTATTAAATTAGTCACCGATTCGGTCACGGATTCGGTCACTAACGATCAGTCCAGTCAGTCATTGATCTCGATCATCGATCTATGATCGGTCCATCGATTCGATCATCGAATCGGTCATCTGATTCGGTCACCAAATCGGTCACTAAATCAATAATTAAATTAATTATTAATTTAGTCTCTTTATATATATATATATATATATATATATATATATATATGTGTATATATATATATATATATATATATATATATATATATTACTTGTATGTTAATAAAAATGTATTTCAATGTATTTATAAAAAATTAAAATTATTTTAATTACTTGAATTGATATTTTAAATTTATATTAATATCTTGAATAATTTAATAGTTGGATATATATATATATATATATATATATATATATATATATCACTTTAATTTTTTTTAATTAAAATTAATTTCATAAAAAAATTAATATTTGAAAATTAAAATGCAAAAAAAAAATATATATATATATATATATAAATTTATTTATTTTTTAAAGATGATATATTCAATGTATGTTAAAAAAGTTCAAGCCAAACTGTTTTTATAGAAGATTTTCAAAACTGCTTGGTTTAATTAATCTGTTAAAAGATTCTTTTAATATGTTAAAAGTGCAGTTTTAATCTGTTAAAACTTCTTTTAATCCATTAATACGTTCTTGATTCTTTAACGATTTGTTTTAAGCTGATACGACAACGTTTATATCAATTAAAAACATTTTACAAAAAATCTTCTAAGTTGATTTAATCGATTGTTCGCGATTCAATCGATTGAAATACTTGCAAAACTTTCTCCTAAAACTTTTCAAGTTATTTTAACTGATAAAAATAAGTTTTAATCGATTAAAACGCTGTGCAGAAATTGTTTTAATCGATTGAAACTAGATTTTAATCGATTAAAATAGTTATGATCGGTCATAATTGCATTCGACCGATCATAATGGAAACCATATAATAGCGGTTCAACGCTTGACCGCTATCTAAGTGAGCTTTTAAGAGCGGTTCTGTGTAACCGCTATCTAAAGCTGTATCTCGCTTGAGCGACAACTTTCTCGCTCGAGCGAAAGGCCCCTGCACAAAATTGGTACTCTCGACTTGTATTTCGCTTGAGCGAGTCTAGTCTCGCTCGAGCGATAATTGATCTGATCGATTATATTTTTGAAATGATCGATCATATTTGATAATTTTTTCAAATAATTAATTATAATCGATTAGTTTTCTAAATTATTGATTAGAATTGATTAATTTCTGAAATATATACTAAAAAAATATAATTAAAACTATAAATTAGTTAAGAATATTGACTATTGTAAAGATAAAGTAGAAACATTGGAGGAGATGAGGATGATAATATAATGATAGAACTTACAAAAATGTAGAATTGAGAAGTTTGAAACAAATAAAAATAAGAAAATAGATATTTAATTACACTTTTAATAAATTTAAGATAATACTAGTTTTAATTTTTATTTTTAAATATTTATTTTAAATATTTAAAACAGAGAAACTATAATTTTAGTTTCTAGCTACTGAATTTAAAGAATTAAATTTATTACTTAATCTTTTAATTTGTAGAATTAAACTCAATATAATTGTGAAAAATACTTTGTAGAGGCATTTGAGAAAGCTTTTGTCAAAATACTTTGTTTTTAATTGTTAAAAACATTTGTAGAGGCATTTTGCAAAACATAATTGAGATGATATGATAAGCGGTTCCACCTTAACCGCTATCTAAAGTATAATTAAGATAGCGGTTAATGGTTAACTGCTATTAGAAGTTCACTTTTAAGAGCGGTTCTGTGAAACCGCTATCTAAAATGTATTTCGCTTGAGCGAAAATGTTCTCGCTCGAGCGAAACTCCAAGTGCACTGAATTCGCATTCTCGGGTGTATTTCGCTTGAGCGACACTACTCTCGCTCGAGCGAAATACGATCCTGATCGATCATAACTTGAAATGACCGATCATAATTGAGAGGATATAATAGCGGTTCCTTCATAACCGCTATCTAAAGTGCATATTAGATATCTGATCGTATTTCGCTTGAGCGAGACTACTCTCGCTCAAGCGAAGTCCGATTCGATCGATTATATTTTCAAAATGACCGATCATATTTGATAATTTTTTCAAATAATTAATTATAATCGATTAGTTTTCTAAATTATTGATTAGAATTGATTAGTTTTTCAAATAATAGATTAGAATTGATTAATTTCGAAATATATACTAAAAAATTATAATTAAAACTATAAATTAGTTAAGAATATTGACTATTGTAAAGATAAAGTAGAACATGGGAGGAGATGAGGATGATATAATATAATGATAGAACTTACAAAAATGTAGAATTGAGAAGTTTAAAAAAAAAATTAAGAAAATAGAGATTTAATTATACTTTTAATAAATTTAAGATAATACTAGTTTTTAAACCTTTTTCTAATATTTGTTTTTAAAAATATAATATCATTTTTAATATTTTATAGATTTTATATTTATATATTTATAAAAGTAATTGGATTAAATTTATTATCCTCTCATATATTATTATATATTTAGCGTAATTTTAGTTTATTTAAAAATTAGAATACAAATATACTATACCAATATACCATTATATTATTTTCATTGTTTATAAATTACAAAATTAATAATTTGTATACTATACTATACTAACATATTATAATGAAAATATATTATAATGAAAATATATTATAATTACAAAATTAATATTTGAAAATTAAAATGAAAATATATATATATATATATATATATATATATATATTTATTTATTTTTAAAGATGATATATTCAATGTATGTTAAAAAAGTTCAAGCCAAACCTGTTTTTATAGAAGATTTTCAAAACTGCTGGTTTAATTAATCTGTTAAAAGATTCTTTTAATATGTTAAAAGTGCAGTTTTAATCTGTTAAAACTTCTTTTAATCCATTAATACGTTCTTGATTCTTTAACAGATTTGTTTTAACTAATACGACAACGTTTATATCAATTAAAACACTTTACAAAAAATCTTCTAAGTTGATTTAATCGATTGTTCGCGATTCAATCGATTGAAATACTGCAAAACTTTCTCCTAAAACTTTTCAAGTTATTTTAACTGATAAAAATAAGTTTTAATCGATTAAAACGTTGTGCAGAAACTGTTTTAATCGATTGAAACGAGATTTAATCGATTAAAATAGTTATGATCGGTCATAAATGAATTCTGATCGATCATAATTGAAACCATATAATAGCGGTTCAAGGGTTAACCGCTATCTAAGTCATATTTTAAGAGCGGTTCCTGGGTAACCGCTATGTAAACCTCATCTCGCTTGAGCGACAATATTCTCGCTCGAGCGAAACACCCCCTGCACAAAATTAGTACTCTCGGGTTGTATTTCGCTTGAGCGAGCCTATCTCGCTCGAGCGATAATTGATTCTGATCGATTATATTTTTGAAATGATCGATCATATTTGGTAATTTTTTCAAATAATTAGTTATAATCGATTAGTTTTCTAAATTATTGATTAGAATTGATTAGTTTTTCAAATAATAGATTAGAATTGATTAATTTCGAAATATATACTAAAAAATATAATTAAAACTATAAATTAGTTAAGAATATTGACTATTGTAAAGATAAAGTAGAAACATGGGAGGAGATGAGGATGATAATATAATGATAGAACTTACAAAAATGTAGAATTGAGAAGTTTGAAACAAATAAAAATAAGAAAATAGATATTTAATTACACTTTTAAAAAATTTAAGATAATACTAGTTTTAATTTTTATTTTTAAATATTTATTTTAAATATTTAAAAC